TATATATTTGCAGTGCCAAGTACTGTATAGCTAAGCCTTTACTACATAATTGACATTATATATGAACTATTATGTGATAGGATGCTCTATTTAATAATTATAATTGGCTCCCTGCTTCCATTTAGAGATTGTATATTCTATGCATGCCTGATCTGTGCCAAGTTGCTGCATTACCATGCACACACCGCAGCCTATGGTCTGTACTACACTCCTAGGTTCATCCAGCAGTGAGGGGGTTAAGCAGACTCCGTTCAGCAGATCGGGCTGCTCTCTGTGCTCTGCCTCCTCCTTGCCTGGGTTGCTCTGAGATGCTATAAAATCAGCAGCATGAACGGAGCTCGGACTGATCCAGGGAATCACCGTGTATGGAGCCATCACCTTCTTCCCAGTGCCAGCACCGAGCTCCTGTCTCTGTGCCAGGAGGGGGGTGATCAGCAGCAACATGGAACTGGCAGGATCCCCCCAATAAAAAGCCATCACGGTAACAATAAACTGTGAAGAGTCTCCCTTGATCCCTGGTGCCAGTGTGCTCTTATTGACAGGCTGGGATCCCTTGCACTTCATCAGCTGTCACCATCCACTGACTTGCCTGAGTCTGCTCCAGCCTGGGGATCAGCGCTCCCTCCGCACAGAGCTCAGCCGTCACATCACCCAGGACTCTGTTTTATTCTCATCGGATCATAAACTTTTCCCCTTCCAGCTGAAGACCTGCTGGTGTCAGTCTGGTACAATGGGAGCGGGGGAGTTCAATGTGTGGATGATTTTAGCAGTCAGCCTGATACACGGTAAATTGATCTCATCCTGCATCCCACACTATTAATCTATATCAGCTATTTCATACCACTCCATCCTATCTGCATGTTTTCAGACATTGGCTGTGTATGTAGTGCCCTGATCGTTGCATAATGCTAAGGTGCTAGTGTTTTGAAAGCACTTTGCTGTATCCCTAGGAAATATTGATACACTGCCCATGTTACTGTGTATTGACAGATTGCAGAGTGAGTGCTGATCATGCTTTTCTCTTGAAGTGTCCTTGCAAGGAGAGTACCAGAGAAAGCTCTACAAGGAATTACTGAAGAATTATAATCCTCTGGAGAGACCAGTAGCCAATGACTCCCATCCTCTCACTGTCTACTTTGGAATTAATCTGATGCAGATCATGGATGTTGTAAGTAAAATCAATCTTATCCCAATGTTCAATGCAATCTGTTTGATATTCAGAAGGGTTCCCAGGATGTGGGGTCAGTGGAGGACAGTCATCCACTTAGCATCCTTTTTTAGAATAATGTTTGGGCTGCAATCCTGCACGAATCTACACACGTTGTTAAAATGCAGCTTTGTTTCGCTGAGCTTGGAAAAGAGAAGGCAAAAATGCTTAGGGATCCTAAGTGCGATTTAGTGTAAGCTTGCTTAATGTAGAATTTAGTTGCTAATGTAAGCAATATGCAACACATCAGCTTAGGCATGGCATAAGCCAGTACCCTGTTTCACATGTTGAACTTAGATCTCATTCGTATGGATAGAGAGAGTTTATTTCTAATGCTGGAAGTTGGTCATGTTGAGAAGTGTAAGGAACGTTTTCAATCTCCACAATTGAAATGTCTGCATTAGTTAGTGAAACAATACTTCTAAAAATGTTATGCCTAAACGTGCAAAGCATCACATCCTTAACACTGGATAGAAAACATGACCATGGCTTGTGATAAGTGTTCTGATAATCATTACCCAACTTTATAATAAAATACATTTGCCAAAATGATCTACAATTTTAAATGATTGCAGGGCAAGCCAAATCAATAAGTCAATAAAGTTAGCTCACACCTTGATTCTCTTACATAGTGGCCATGCAGGTGGTCTCATGCTGTTTGGTAAATGTATCCTGTTATTTGTAAAGTTTATTTAGGAAAGTTCAGTGGTAAATCCATGTTCATCTGACAAATGGTCTTAAAAATTTTTTAGAATGTATAATGACAGAACAATATGACCGAAGCATCGTGCAACCTGTATAATGTTGTATTTCGTCATTTGTGATATAGTGACACTGTGTTAGCACATACAGCTGTAAGTCTGACTTTTCATATTTAAAAGATCAAACAGACATAAATATGTATATTAACCCTTTAATATGATACATTTAAACATAGTATTCATTTTGTTTGAGGTGTCAAAGGCTTAATATGAATCAGTTTTAACTTCTTATATGTATAAATATATGTATTTGTGCTTTTATTAAACCATTGCATGCTTGTAAATTCCTTCTTACTTGCCTGAAATTAGGTTTCCCTAAATATAAGATAAAGTCTTTTAAACCAGGCGGTAAGTAGCAGCCTGGCAGAGAAAGAAATGAGTCCTGTATTTGTTCAGTGATAGGGACATTGATACCTGTACTGCGTCAGTTGGGTAGAAGCAGTTCAGTTATTCATGTTAGTACCACAGGCTGATTGTCATTACAATGTGATAAACTGAGGAAAATAGCATGACTACTGATTACCTAAAAGGTCAGTCCACTCAACCATCTGATGGTAGATGCTTACAAACTACATGACACAATGGGGTTGATTTACTGAAGGCAAATAGGCCATTCACTTTGCCAGGGAATTTGCACTTTTCAGGAGACGTTTCCCTTAAAATGTATTTCCACTTTTGCTGCCACATTTGAGTGAACACCTGTATATGTTCGTTATGTGTTCCTATTTCACACAGCATAGCAAAAAATAACTTGAAAAATAAAATTCTTACCTTTTAGTTTGTTAAGTCGGGCAAGATGGCGGATTCCAGGTTTTTCTTAGCCCTTTCACAATGGCCTGTCCTAATGGAAAAACCTGGGACTGAAATTTGAGGATTGTGTTTATCTGATAAGCTTCATTAACATACAGTGGATAAGCCACTTCAGACCCATCACCCCTCACAGACCCTCTTAACATTTCAAAGTAAAAGAAGCAAGAAACATTTTTAACCCTTAAAACCCTAACCCTACTAAAAGCAATTTAAACTCCAAGAAGCATTTTTTTTCTAGCTTATGCTATGTGAATAGGAACCTGTAACAAATATAAAATAGGTGTTATCCCAATATGGCTGCAAAAGTGGAAATACACTTTAAGCTGGCCATACTTTATGCAAAATTTGGACACACTTCAGGAATTGGTGAAATTCCCACATTGGGTGCTGCTGTCGGCACCCTTCCAGCCAGCATTCCTTGATCAAATGAGGCGTTGGAAAATCTTCTAACGAAAAGTGCTAGCAGTAGATAAGCTGCTTGCACCATTCATGTATTCTGACAGTGGCCAGCGGCTGCTGTCAGAATACAAAAGAAAGTGCGGGGGATTCCTGGATCAATGCTCGTAATCATTGATGGAGAAATCTGTTCTATTTTTTTTCGTTCAGTCCACAGATTGAATGGGGAAAAAATAGAACAGTGAATGGCCAGCTTTAGTTTGATGAATGTGGTGAAATTTAACTTTGCAAAGAATATCCAAACATGTGGGAGGAAAAATAATAATTTTCGCTTGCACATCTTGCTTGCTTCAGCTCTTTCCCTAAACTAAGGGCAAACATCCCTTGCACAGCGAAAATTCCCTTGAACAGCCTATATGCCTTTATATAAACCCCAATCGATTTCTCTTGGAGACTCTGTTGTAGTTCTTCACATTTGCTGTAGCATGTACAAGGAAGTCACACACTCCAGATTGAACTTTTGATGTATTATGAAAAATGCAGCAGGAGGAGTGGGAACGCTCAATTTGTAGCAGGTATAATTCTGCTATATAACTGTGAAAGTTCAATAAAACAATAAAACTTCACACCAAAAGATAGAGTAAAACAACTACGGTATATAGTCTAACATTTCTGTCTTAAAAGTGGATACAGATTTACTGTAGGCTTACATATTATCTATAAGCCAAAAGTAGCGCTGTTCTAGTTTAACAAAAGGTTTAGCAATCCTAAATATGAGAACCTGCTTGAAGTCAAATATAGTTTTAGAAATTATGATAAACTCAATAGAGATGCATAGAACCTTTAGAGATATTGTTTTTCCGAACCTTGGATGATGTGAAGGTACAACAGTTTTGAAAAGTAATTCATAATTAATTTTCAAACAAAATTTGCATATGACAGTATTCATGCCACGACAAGTTTACCCAATTGCTGTGTTTATCAGCTGTTCAGTCTTTTGTTTAAAAAGCCTGTTAGAAATAATGCTTCCCTTGCCTAGAAAACGTTAGCAGACTTTATTCACATTAAATCTTAAGTACAGCAACAGTTCCTCACTCTTTTATCATAGTGTGGCATTTCCATTCCTTTAGGTACCTTTTTTTCTAAGCCCAGAAATGTCCTTCAGTATCTTTCTATACACAGATGTATAATTATTGTTCATCTTATACAGTGCTATCATTTTAATAATGTACATCAGGGAAACATTTATATGGAAGCTGTCTTGCTTGTTCAAGTTTATAATCTATGAAAACAACATAAAAAGAGCCATAGGATGCCATAGAACTGTCATGGGCAGTCCTAGGGCATCCCTTAGGTAAAATATTGATAGGCCATTCTAGACTGCTAATGTGTTTCTTTGAGATAAGCTGACTTTGAGGCTCACTTTGTGTTCTCCCTTCCTTTCTCTGTTGCAATAAACATGCTTGCTCAGGCCATCCAAATGTGATTTTGTTTGGAAGGATCTTTTAGAGGAGGCATATTTTGGTGTTTGGATTGTACCTACATAGACATCCACTCTCTAATGTCAGTTTTTAAGTTAGTTTGATGTCAAATTTGAACTTCAGGGAGGTATGAACCACCAATGAATGATGTCATATGTCCAATTAAAATAATGTTATGCATTTTTAAATGCAAGTAGTGTATGCACCTTGATTTAACTTGGTATCAGCCTCTTGTAATCTACTGTACAGAAGCATAGACTGCTGGATGAAGAGCCAGTCTTTGGAGCCAATCCGATGTATCGCATTCACATTTTCAGACAATTAATATTTTGACCAAAGGAGAGAGCATAGTGAGCTAATGAGTGAGCTGTTGCTGTTCTTTCACTGCTTAATCACAGCCTTAGGGCAGGACTGTGTAAAGTTAAGGAATTGATGGATAGAAATACTTTGACAGGGAAGACATCTCCTACATATGTATTTCAACTGCATCTTTATCTTTTTTTCACAGAGTTCAGCTTTAGGGATGTAGAGATATAAAAGTTCTCATGCAGAGATTTGGTAGCACTGGTTTCAGAAAGGCTGTATCCCTTTAAATTACAAAAAGTCCACAGCATTAATGTGGTCAATGTTTATTTGCCCTTTAACCAAAGAAACCTAATCACTAAGAGCACCTAGGGTTCAAAATATATAGTAATATATAGTATAGTATAGTATCATTAAAAAATAACTATGGGATAGTTCTCTTTAGGGTCACGGGAGGACATATAATAACCTCCTCCTGTGACCCAAAGCTCAGTATATTGCAGGCTATTGCTATTGTCAAGATCCACCTAGCTGCATGAGTGACAGCTGGCCCTGCCTATCTAGAGGCAGAGCCAGCTGTACCCGCCCCATCCCCCCTTCGTTCCTCCACTCAGTGCTAGAGGATCGGAGGAGGGGGGAATCCCTGCGGGAGTGGTGACTGACAATCACCGCTCACTGCAGGGAGATGATCAGGAAGTGAGCACATCAATTGATAGAGCTTTCCTGCGACAGCTTCTTTGTCAAAGGTCGGCTCTAACTATGAGGATGAGTGGAAATCACTCACCTCATAGTTCACCTTTAATGGTGATTATGAGATACATATCAAAAATCTCCCACACTCCAAAAACATGCTGGTAGGTTATATGGCTCCTGTCTAAATTGTCCCTGTATGGATGCATGGGAGATAGGGCCCTTAGATTGCTAGATTGTAAGCTCCTTGAGGGCAGGGACCGATGTGAATGTGCAACTATGTAAAGCGCTGCGTAAATTGTCTGCGCTATGTAAATACCTGTAATAAATAAATAAATAAAAAATATACAGGAGTCAACACATTTCAGAAACTCCCCCTTTTATAAGGGCTATAAAACATATAAAAGAAACAATAATATAACAAATAAGAAATTGCCCATATGAAGATTACATCAAACCAGTATTTTTGGATTAGAACATTCAGATGGGCATATGAATATCAGCCAAAACCTACATTGAT